TTTTTTGAAATAAATTTGACAACTTCTAAGAAGTACCTTGGAAGACAAATTAATGAAACTAACTCTGGAGGAAATATAAAATTTGAATAGCACCTAGTAAAGAAAGTATATTCCTAGCTTGAAAACCCACCTATATGACAACAACAGGCTCATTTTAACATCATTGTAACTGATAAATTATATCAAATATTTAAAGCAGAAAAAAAAAGGAAAACTTCTCCCCTCATTTTAGGAAATCAACATTGTGTTAATCCTAACCTTTCAGGGAAGGGAGAAGTTAAACTATCCTTATTCACAGATGATGCAATGGTTTATATGGAAGACCAAACAAAATCCACCAAAAGACTCCTACATTTTCAAACAAAATCAGCAAAGTAGCAGAATATAACATCAATAGAAAAAAATCAATAGTGTTCCTGTATATCAACAATGAACCTACCAAGAAAGAAATCAGGAAAACAATACCATTCACAATGGCTTCAAAAAACTAATTACATAGGAATTAACCAAGGAATAGTACTCTGAAAAAAAAGATATTAAAGAGGACTTCAGAAAATGGAAAGACATTTTTTATTTTTGGACAGGTAGAAACAATATTGTCAGAATGGCCATATTACCAAAAATGATATATAGATTTAGTACAGTCTCAACCAAAATACAACAGCATTCTTCACAGAAGTAGAGAAAAACAATCCTAAAATTTATATGTAACCAGAAGAGATCCAGAATAGAAAAAAGCAAATCTGAGCAACCAGAGCAAAGCAAGAGGCATCACAATCCCGAATTTCAAGTTATATTAAATTACAATGAGCAAAAGAGCATGATACTGGCACAAAAACTGACATTTGAATCAATGAAACAGAATAGAGGATGAAGAAACAATCTCAGCACATTCAACCACCTGATCTTTAACAAAATGGCCAGAAACATATGCTGGAGGAAAGATAGCCTCTTTAACAAATGATCTAGTGGAAATTGGTTATCCATAAGCAGAAGAGTAAATCTAGCCCCATATCTCTCATCCTCTACTGAAAATCTACAAGTCAAATTGGATCAAAGATCTAGATATAAAAACACAAACCTTAAGTGCTAGAAGGTAAAATAGGTAAACCTCTAAATAGGACATAGGCATAGTCAAGGATTTTCTGAACAGGTTCATGGTAGCACAAGAAATAACACCATAAATCAACAAATAGGACAAAATCAAATTTATAAACTTCCACACAGCAAAGGAAACATCCAAAAGAGTAAAGAGACAACCAATTAAATAGGAAAAAATCTTGCCAGCTACTCTTCAGAGAACTAATGTCTAGAATATATAAAAGACCTCCTTATAAAAGGCTCAACCAAACAATGGGCAATTGAAATAAATAGACACTTCACATAAGAAGAATTTCAAATGGCTAACCCTTGGAAGTCAGAACCCACAGGTTTTCTTCATGCTTTCTTTAGCATTGACTACTTCTTTATTATTTAACTTTTCCTCTATTAGATTTTTATCTGTATATTCTTTTATTCTTCTATTTTTATATATTTGACTATAATACAATTTACCTAAAATATTATTGACCACTTGTTTTTAAAAAAATAAAAAAGAGGATCATTCAATTTCATTTAACCACAAACTTACTTTCATTAGTTTCAGGATTTCACATTTGTGATAAATTACATGATTTTTTTATTTGATGATAAAGTTAATAAGTTAGCATATAACATTTAATGCAATATTTGTTTAATTTTCCTACAGTTTTATATTCCATTTGGCCTCATTTCCTTTAAAGGCTTACATCTACTATTTGTAATGTGAAAAATAATGTGACAAAACATCCTTTCAAAAAATACTATTATGTTACTTTCATTACATTTTGCTGAGTAGAGAACTATAAGACTGAAAGACTCTATCATTACATGGCAGATATTCTTCTGTTGAAGAATCATCAGTCTTCTTGTTCCTTCTTTGAAAATAGTATGACATTTGTTCCATGTATAGTTACTTTAAATTTATTTATTTATTTAGTATTTATCAATAGGCCAAGTGTATTGTTAATAGATTTTACTTGGGCTTCACTGAGCTCTTGAATGTGTGGATTAATTTGCTTTATCACATTGAAAATTTATCCACAATTTCTTCAAAAATGGTTTGCATTTGACTTCTTTTCCTGTTTATATCAGGAGCTCCATTTAAGAATATTTTAGAACTTTTTGCTGTCCCATATTTCTACTTATACTTTCAGAAGTATAAATTTCAAATAGGTCTCGTAGATCACATAGACATATATTTTGTATGTTTTGGGGCTTTATTTTACCTTTGTTCCTATTCCTGGGATATTTCCCTTGGTTCTTGACTTTTATTCTGACACCTAGAATTGGCCTTTCTAGGAACAAGCTAAATGGGAAAGTTTCTCCATCCAAGCATGACTGATGATATTTCCTTTGAAAAGCATGTCAAATTGTTTGCTTGCTCTTGGAAGATTTATGCTAGACATCCTAGAGCAGTGATGGTGAACCTTTTAGAGATGAGTGCCCAAAATTCACTCTAAAAACTACTTTTTTATCACAGATTACCAACACTGAAATTAAATATTAGCATGGAGGTTTTAGCTTAGAAAGAACAACTCATGCATTAACATCTTTTGTCTTAAAAAATGCATACCCTAGGTTCACCACCACTGTTTTAGAGGGTGTGTGTGTGTGTGTGTGTGTGTGTGTGTGTGTGTGTGTTTGTATTCACATTTATACTTTAGAAGTCAATCAGAAAATGGTGTCAGCAAGATGACATCAATTCATCAGAAGGACCAACTAGCAACTATCTATAGGCAAAAATTTTGTGAAAATTTCTGGGTTGGAGTGTAGCTAAAGTGTACCCATGGACCATAAAAACTAACCCAGCTGTATTAGAAGGATAAGGAAAATAGTCTCACCTTAGCCATTTCACCTTTCTGAAGTATGCCTGAGAGAATTAACTGGGCCTACAGTTTCTCTTATGGGGAAGAGACTGAGGTGGCAAAAGTCACCCTACCTGGTCATCTCATGGCTCCACTTGAGTATGAGCCATGCCAAACTGAGGATCATATTTACTTTCCCTTTTAGACCAGGGAAATTGAACAACACACTGCCTAGGTTTGGGGCCAAGAATATGACTGTGTCCAAGTAAAATGGCAAAATCTTATGCAACTGTGGGATATGATCTGTGCACCCACCTGACCGGAGAAAATAAACAATGTATCAGGAGACTACACTATCAAAACCTACTACAAAGCTGTCATAATCAAAACAGCATAGCATTTACATAAGTGCAAATGCATGCAATAATGGAACAAAATAGGCTAAATGTAAATCCAAGCATATAGAGTAAATTGATCTTCAGTGAAAGTGTTATGAAAACAAATTGAGCACTTCCATGTTCATTTTTGCACCTTTCCAAGTGCCAAGAAATGGAATCAACCTAACTGTCCATCAACTGATTAAGGGAAAAGAAAAACATGGGATATACACATGGTGGGATATAAATATCATAAAGGAAGAATGAATTTCTGTTATTTGCACCAATATGGAAGGAATTAAGGTGACAAGAATAGAAGTACCACATGATCTCACTCATATGTGCAATCTGTAAATGTTGATTTTGTATAAATTGAGGGTAGAATGGTGGTTACCAGAGGCCAGCACATTAGGCAAAGGAAGAGGGAAAGTTTTATCAGTTGATACAAGGACACAGTTAAGTCAAAGCCAGGACTCAGGGATACTATTGCACAGTATGGTGACCATAGGTAATAATTATGTATGGTATGCTTCAGAAAGCTAGAAGAAAAAATTTTGAAAGCTTTTGCCAATAAATATTTGAAGAGATAAATATTTCTTAATCTGATTTAACCATTACATGATGGATGTGTGTGTCAAAAATTACATGATAGCCTATTAATTTGTACAATTTTTATGTACTTGTGTATCAGTTAAAAAGAAAAAGAATTTAAAAGTGGTTTAAAATAAAATAAAATAAAAATTTAAGGTTCAACTTTTTTAGTCTCAGATGGAATATTTACCCTTATTAAGGATTATTTCCAAAACATGATAAAAGGTACACTGTAGAAGAAACAATGTGAATACTATCAAGAAGCAGACTGTATCTCAGTATGCACATACAATGTTAACAGCTAAATCTTTTCAGAAGGGAATGTTCTGCTCGGGGCGCTGGTCAATTTCCCAGCCCAGGGTCATGTTTAAGCCCAGAGAGATACTCATTTTTGCACTGGGCCCATTTTCCAGCAGGATTTCATCTGAGGCCCCTCTATTTAACATTATTGCAATCTCAATGTAGTTTTGCTTTACTGGCTAATGTTCTTTCTAAATTCATAACTTTTATGCCAGTACACATTTAAAGGATATGATTACACAAAGATTAAGAGAAAGACTTTGTCCTTAGTAAACATATCACAAAATGACACTGAAAGCACAACTAATTTTTCCTTTCACAACTTTATTGTCATGTATTTTTCTGCATATATAATACTAAAATATTTTTAAACAAATGAAATTTCTGTAAATGAGTATCTTTGTTCTTATAGTAGTAAAATAAAGTAAAGAAAAAACAAACATAGTCAACATAAAATGAGAACCTATTTTGCTTTCAAAAACTGTTAGAACCAAACATGCCTTTTAGATGAGAATATTTTTAACCCAATAATAAAGGAGAACCTCAATTTACACCAGTAGCTTTTCAAATATACACTTTGGATTAAAATCCGTAATCATTCTACTTTTTCCATGGAATAATCAAAATGTGATACACACAAAACTGTGTTGTAAATTCTTATTCTACATAAAATTGCCCACAGATGACCAATAAAATACATAATTGCTTTATTGGTGATTAAAGTAAATTAATCGGTTTTCCAGCTCCAGGATAAGGGATTATAAATTATATCATGATAACAGAGCTCAATAACTTTTACGTTCACAGTATAGATTACATAAGACCCCTCTGCACTCTTGTAAAATATTTAGGAGAGTTTTCTTAGATGTAGGAGATGACTACTCAGTCTTTTTATTGCCAGCTTCATGTCTTTGTTCCTCAGTGTGTAAATGGTGGGATTCAGAATGGGTGTGATCATAAAGTCCAAAATGGCAAGGAATTTATCCACTGGAACTGTGGGAAATGGCCACATATAAACAAAAATGCAAGGTCCAAAGAACAAAACCACCACAGAGATGTGAGCTGAGAGAGTAGAGAGAGCCTTGGCCAACCCTCCCAAAGACCGTTTCCATACAGTAAACAAGATGAAGATATACGAGATAATCAATAAGAAGAAAGTCCCCGTGGAAATGAATCCACTGTTGGCAGTAACCAAGAACTCCATTCTGTAGGTGTCTATGCAGGACAGTTTGATAAACCAAGGAAGATCACAGTAAAAGCTGTCTATTGCATTTGGACCACAAAATGGCAAATAGATAACAAAAGCTAGCTGGGCCACTGAGTGAATGAGACCAATAACCCAAGCACTAGACAGAAGCAAAAGGCACATCCATGGGCTCATGATGGTCAGATAATGGAGGGGCTTGCATATGGCCACGTATCTGTCCAAGGCCATGGCTATGAGCAGAACCATCTCAGATCCACCCAGCACATGAAGGACAAATATCTGGATGACACACCCCTTGAATGAAATGGTATTGTGCCCAGAGTACATGTCAGAAATCATCTTAGGAACTGTTAAGGTAGAAAAACACAAATCAATAAATGAAAGGTTAGCTAAAAGGAAGTACATGGGGGAATGTAAATGAGCATCTAATATCACTATAAATACAACTAGGAGATTCCCTAAAACTATTAATACATAAAACACTGTAGAGAAGACAAGGAGGAAATACTGTGTTGGTCTGTATGTAGAAAGTCCCAGTAAGACAAATTCAGATACTTCAGAGTAATTTCCTTCATACATTGGGGTTTTTTCTTGTGCTACCTGAAAGACCAAAGAAACAAAACAGTGATTATAGAATTTATTAGAAATAAATACTGAAAGAAACATTTAAAATGTTTTATAATGTGTAATAACTTTAAAAATCTTCATAAACATTCATAGATGTTTTAGTAATTAATGCATTTATTTATCCATTCAACTAATGTTCATTAGGAATATCTACTGTAGGTTCGACACTTTGTCACATTTGAAGCTAAATATTGATCTTGACTTCAGAAGTTTCAAAGCTATTGGTGTATGTAGACATTAAAAACTTTCAAGTGCAGATAAAACACTAATAAGGAAAATAATAGCATTATGAAAATAGCTGTCTTATCATCAGTTGTGTTTGATTTGACTCGGCTAAACTGGAAGTTATTTAGGGTAATTGTCTACGCTTTGAAATGTCCTCTGCAAAGAACCTGATACAGAAAGGCCAATGGGGCTCTTTAGAACATGAATAATTGAGTTTGGTTTAGAGTAATATAGAATCTTGTTGTTGTTGTTGTTGTATTTTTTTTGAGGCATGTTTTGCTATGTAGTTCAGGCCAGCCTTGAACTCACTGTGTAGCCCAGGCTGGCCTCAAACTCGCAGCAATCCTGCTGCCTCAGTCTCCCAAGTGCTGGGATTACAGGCACGCACCGCCACACCCAACAATTAGAATCTTTTATCCATAAGAAATTTGTTTCTCATCCTACGAGCATTAGAAAACCATAAAGGATTTTACCAGAATGTTGTTGGTCATATTTCTATTTTTAAGTCGTCACAAAATCTTTAATGAAAAGAAGAGAATGAAAGGAATGGAGTGAGGTAAAAATTACCTAGTGAAGAAATATAATGTGAGAACTAGAACACAGTGAGACTCACACAACAGGCAAAGCCTGGGAAAATATAGATCTCAATGAAGATAATCTCAATGAAGTTTTAAATGAGTATTTAATTGTTACAAAGAGAAACATCAAAGAGAATATAGAAACATTTGGACAAACAAGTTAGAAAATTCATTCATTGCATATTCCATATCCACAAATCATAGATGAAATAAAATATTATCCAAAATATTAAAATATAAATAATGTTATATAAACATGGATAAACATAATGACATTGCACAAAGATATACATACAGACACTTTACATGGAGATATAAGCACTACAAATACAAAAATTAAAGCAAACACTGAAAAATAGCTCTAAATTATCAAAGCAGTAACACTAAAATAAAAGTAGTCTTCCAAATAAATAATAGATAAAATGTCTGACATGACAAGTTAAAAATGAACAAATATATAAAAATGACTCGTGACAGAAGAAATTCTAAAACTCATTATATGAATAGAAAAAATATTACCAGTAATCAAAGAAACAATAATTTTAAAAATTATGTAGTTAGGATAAAATAGAAATATATTATGTGCAAAGTGTAAGAACAATACACCCTTTGTAGTCAGAAATGGACTTCAATGTATCAAGACCAGGTAGGAAGAGGCATCCTGAAGGCTGAAACATGGAACAAGCATTGGAGCCAAAGGAAAGGGGATGTGAGACCCTGCCCCTGATTTAAACTTTACACAACATATACATATATCAAGAATCACAAGATACCCCACAAATATGTACAACTTTAAGTTTTGATGTATCATTTAATTTTTTATTTAAATTGTTAAAAAATAATTGAACAAGGGAGAAAGGGACAATCACTGAAGTGAATGATTGTATATGACATATCACAGGAGCTACAATCAAGTCCCTAAGTTTTTATCAAGCAACATGGGGATTTTAAAATACACATATTCAGGAGTTTTAAAAATGTACGTTCTGTATGTTTCCAACTGCAGAAGACAGAGAAAATGTGTTCATACCAAAAGAAAATATAAAACAATTCTGATAGATATTTTTAACTGAGAATTAGAAAACTGCATAATTTATTTTTGTTTTCTTTATTTTAAAAATTTAAAAATTTCTATATATTTTTACAAATTTTCCTCATTTTGTGCATTCACCAGGAGTGAAAAATTATTCTCATCTGTCAGAGTATTATGGATGATAGAATGAGAAATATATTAACACCACAAGGAGGAGGTCTAATTTTTAAAGTAGGAAAATATACACAGGTAACTCAGCAGGAACAACCTCACAGATAAACGGTCAATTTACTGACATTCACTTCATTAATCATTGGGAGTTTTATTGTTTTTTGTTACAACAATCAAGAGGGAAAGAGAAAGAAAAGTAGGGACAGAGAGGTAAGAGGCAAGTGAGAGAAAGAGATTTCATTTTATTTTCAAGGTTTCAAAGTAAGTTACTCATAAATGCTGTTGGATTACACATTGAAAATATTTAATAAAGTTTAAAATGTAAAAATCTTTTTAACAAACACTACATTATATATAATATATACGGACATATAAGGTTATATAAGGTTACAATATTATACTTGATTCACCCAATCAGATATTGTATATGTTGCAGCATGTCAATTCATAGTGTGTTAGTCAAATTATAGTACATATAAACAGTGGAGTAGTATGATGTTATTAAAATTAATTAAATTGTTTATATATAAATATCAAAATATTTTCAATTTAAATGGTAAACAATTTAATGTAGAATAAAATTAGTAATATGAAAATTTGTGTCTCAGTTTGATTTTATCTTAGAATACCACCAAATACCACTAATGGTGAATCCTAAAAAGTTGGGTTACATGTGGCTTTCATTTCTTAATTTATTTTTATATTGCTAAAATGGCCTAAAACAAATTTATGTTGATCTTGATTTAAAAGTTGATTTTATAAAAATACAAAATAAGAGACTCAACATGAACAACCCCATAAATTTCATGTAGTCATATAAGAATAAGTCAAATAAGCATTTTAAAATTATAACAAAATTTTATGAATACAAAGAAAATTATTCCTCTTTGACAAAAAAAAATTACAATGGTCATTTAACAGAAAATGTTCTCAGTAAGAAATTCAAACCAAGATAAAAACTTCACATCTCACATTCCTAAGCAGTCTATTGCTAGTTGCTTTAAAATCCTTCTGCTCTTTAGTTGCTTGATACTAGTAAGGAAAGAGAGGAAAGGAAAAGGCAGGAGAGGAGAAGAGAGAGAAGAAACATGCACAAGGAAAAAACTAGGAGAGAAGAACAGAAACAAGCAAAAAGGGACCCCATAAAGATGAAAAATTAGGTAGTTAATATAGTATACTAAAGGCTGATCTGAGTCTTCTCTTGCTGACTCTGTGCTTGGAGTCCCCACTGACTTCTGTCTTCTGAAGACCTGAGAATAAATAAATGCCTCACCAATAGAGCTCTTGGAATCTGTCAACTGACCATCTCCCCAGCCTCTCATTTTGCCTGTCTGCCTCAAAAATTTTAAGGACATGACCACTTCTTGCTTCATGACTGCAGTTTTACTCATACATTTTTTCCACGAAAGGGACACCTGATCTTTTTTATTAAGCTGGTTATGTATTATAAATTTTTATCCTATTCATCAATTCATCAAAGACATCTCCATCTATTGCAGTATGAATTAGACAGTGCTCTTACATCACACTTGCAAACTTCTTATGTTACCTGTTCCATGGGGTCACTTACAATAAGTAGTCTTTTTTGCTCCCTTGCCAGGTCTCTGACTTTCTTGCAGGCATGGACCATATATTATTCAACAGTCCTGGCTCATACATAGCAAGTGCTGTGCTTTTGAGAGTGGTGACTGCTTGGGTAGATGTAAGCATAAGTATGTATATAAATACATGGTTAATAGATGATAACGGTTTCTTGATAAAGGTGTTCACCTACATCTTGATCCTATTGAAAACTAATGCCAATAGAACTGTTAAAAATAATTGCCTTTCTAGAAATTATCACATACAAATGGCAGATTTGAGATAATTCACTGTAAAACTGATATCAAACCTCTTTACTGGTCCCTACGTAATATAATAAATTTAGAACCAGAAATTTCCCTGCAAAACAAGACAAAAATCTATGCAAATGGAGCAATGCAAATTTTAACTTAAAAGAGGATACTCAATATTTGCTTTTGAAATGAAAAATAGAAATGAAGAGGGAGTTTCAGTGTAATGAAATTGATGCTACACATTACCTACACAAGCAAAATAACTAATAATGCTAGTTATTGACTTTAGTTGTGCCTTTCCCACTTACCTAGCTAACGGAGGGAAAGATGACATAAATCAGTCTTTCCAATATTATTGAATTTTTAAAGAAATGTTTTTCTTTGATTCTATGTGCTAGTGCTTCTCACAACTTGTCCATCTCTAACAGCAGCATTTGGTGACCACCCACTGGCTTGGAGATCTGAGTCTCCTGACCATTTATTATGGGGATTCCACTTTGAAATCCCCACAGCCTTAAAGGGAAAGAGTACTTAGTTTTGTTAAGGAAGTAAAGGGTAAGCAAAGAAAAGTATGATTAATAAAACATAGTGGCAAAAAAATCAAGAAATAACAATATCAGAAATTTAATGTTTATAAATTAAATATTTAAGACAATATCATTGCAAAAGAAATAAGTATTAACATGTATATTAAATAAACATCATTAAAATTATTTAGGAAATACATTCATGTTATGTATCTTGCATGTGGATATCTAATTGTTCTGTCACCATTAATTGAAAAGACTGTTTTCCCTTTGCGCAATAGTTTTGATGCTCAACTGGAACCAATTACCATACATGTATGTGTTTCTTTCTGGAATCCCACTCTATTTTAGATGTTTACATGTCTACCTAATACTAGTGCCACTGCTTATGTTATTGAAGTAGAAAAAAAGGAAGGGGATAAAGATATGGATAGGGGGGGAAATAGGGAAGGGGAAATGGGATTTAAAGAAAGACATTACAATGTACTACGACTCTGTATCAATCCCCATAAAGAATGCAAATATTATGTAATACAAATATGTAGTAATAAAATTTTTAAAAATTAGGAAGTGTGCGTTTCCA